AGATTTGGATATACTGTCACCGTGGATCCTTGGAACCTTGGGGGATAAATGGGGATAAAATAGCCACTAAGGGCTTTCTCATCAAGCAATTGCCCCTTTTCCAGTTGGCTTAAGGGGAGAGAGATAAGGTGCGTTACACCCGCTCACAATCTGGAGATTAGATGAAAGATGACATTGATAACTTTAGCAACGCTTGCAACAGTGTAGTGCGATCAGAAAAATGATTCACAAAATGACCGAGATATTGCACTTTGCCCAAAAAGCACTATACATCATTCACACACTTCAGAGTAGGGAATTTTAGAATAGCCACAAGTTTGTTAAGATTAATTTGCAAAACCTCACAAGAAATATGGTACTCAAGATAAATTGTGTCTTTGGACCCAAACACGCACTTTGACCGCTTTAGTTTTAGACTAATGTCCCGTAGCCGATCCAACACTTTACAAACATCACGAATATGCTCTTCTAAAGTCCCCTCCGAGTGAATCAAGACATCATCAATGAAGACAGTAGTCACTTTCAGCATATCACAAAGAACCTTGTCCATCATCTGCTTGAAAGTTGCTAAAGCATTATTCAAATTAAATGGCATCACCAAAAACTCGTACAAACCAAATGGTGTACAAAAAGCAGTTTTATGAATATCTTCTTTGGCCATCGATATTTGCCAGTACCCAGAAGCAAAATCTAGCTTGGTGAACTAATGACTTTGCCTCAGACAGTCCAAGAGATCAGCAGTGTGAGGAAGAGGGTACACATTCGGGACCGTCACTTCGTTTAACGGATGATAGTCAATGCAGAAATGAATACTCCTATCAGAATTTGTCACGACATGCTCAAGGACTCCACGACTTCCAAATAACACCCTTCTCCAACATTTCCTTGACGTTTACACGTAAAATCTTGATTTTTTTGAGTGACCGACAACGAACAGAAACCTTGATTGGACGAGCATCCCTGGTTGGAATCGGATGACTGATCATGTCAAGGTCTGTAAGAACAACGCCAGGCTCGGTTCCCCACCACCACAGCAGAGGAAGTCCTGCAGGAAATGTTTTGAAAGTTTGCCCCAGATGATAGGTCAAATTCAAAAAGATCAAAATACTCCTTCATGAGCCAGTCAACCATTGCAACACAAAGATTGTTAGAGGGATTGGAAAAGGGAAGAGTAGAACAAAACAGAAACATAAGAGGAAATAGTGAAGGGACAAAAGTAATGGAAGTAAAGGTAAAAGTAGAGAGACAAAGAGGTATGGAAGTCAAAAGAATAGATGAAACATAAAGAAGTATGAGACAAGGGGGAGAAGTTTCAAAGTTACATTTGGCATAATTGCATTGCAACCAATCTATACCAAGGATGAAGTCAAAAGCTTGACTTAACACCACCCGTAATGATTGCAACTCAAACTTGAGATCACCCACATGCACAACCAAATCCACCTCATCCCGTGCATATGTAAGTGTACAGCTATTGCCATAAAAAATGAAAATTGGTTCCACCACACGATGCAAGTGTAGACAGCAACATGTGGCAATAGGTCGAGCAATAAAAGATAAACTTGAACCTGTATCAACCAACACAGAGAGAATAATAAGAGACCTTTTGTTATAAAAACGAGTTTGGAAAGTAAACACTGGATGAACTAGTGCCAAGTGAACCCCTTGATGATGCTCCTAAAAGAAAAATGGAGGGGTCATTAACTTATTCGCGCAAGATCCCTCCGTTACTTGTGTGACTCTTCGTTTCCCGGATGCATCTCGATGTCCAAACCTTCCACTACAATAGCACCAACAGAATGTTGTTAACACCAAGGTCTCCATCTAGGAAATGGAAGTCGCCATCTAGAAAACGCCGACAATGCCGATAAGTGTGACTAACTTCATCACATGCCCAACAACAAATGTCACGGCTACGACCACATCCTCGCCTTTGTCCTTGGACTTGAGCAGCAGCAGCATCAACCTCCATTGGAACAGGACCATCACCCATCGGAAGTGGAGTAGAAGGACGGGCAACGAGAAGTGGAAGAGGCGACGTTTCATAATGTTATGCCAAACAAAGAGTATCGTCAAGGGTGGTTGGAGCAAGTGCATGCATAAGTCCAACAAAATCTTGGCGAAGTGCTGGCCACAACATTTCTAGCTTGATCCGCTTTGACATATTTGGCTCCACACAAAGTAAGAAGCTTCAGAAATGAACGCCAAATTGCATCATCGACTCATATAGCCCTTGACGAAGACGATGCAATTCCTGAAAGGCATCATCACAATCATCAACATGTCTGAATGTGCGTTTGAAAATGTTCGGGATCCAATCCCCACGAATGGTTGCATTCAAACCATTGTACCACTGCAACACCGTCCCTTAAAGATACGTGAGAAACTCACACAAATATCGAGTATCATCCCAAGAATGATATATGGCAATCATTATGAAGTGATCAAGCCAATGGTACACATCATCCCCAGGATTCCTATGAAATAATTATGGCCGAACGCAAGGATTGGCACAAAGAGCAAGAGGAACTATACCACATGCTGTGAATGTCGTCATCAACTAAGTTTGGTTGTTCAATTACAACTGCATGGTATTAAACAATTGCACCAACTGTTACTTCAAAGTTAGAAGAGGAGACTACTACTTTGCCATGAAAATGAATGAAAAAGAAAGAGCAAAAGAAGAGAAATGAGAAAAAAATTAAAAGAAAAGGGAGATTTAGACAATGGAAAAGCTAAATTTAAACTAAAATTTTGAAAGGAAAGAATGAAAGAAAGGAAATGAAAAAAGCTAAATTTAAACAATGCAAAAGCTAAATCTAAACCAAAATTCCAAATCCAAGGATTCCTCAGGGATAATGAAAGGTGCCCCTCATCTCCACTAATGTGAGTGCATGGAATATGGAAAAGGAATACAGAAAATATGCATATCAATTAGCCCAAAAACTCTATCTTATATATAGGAGTGAGTGGTCCGAATTGAAAGCAATCCAACAGCTATTGCTAGTCAAGTAGTAACCGTCCAATTAAAAGCATATTCATAAATATTCTAAAAGGGAATATATGATGCCTAATACACGGCATCGTAGCCATACATTTGGCCCATATTTTATGCACTCACAATGTTTTTAATTTATAAAAAAAAGACTAATCTAAATCAATATTAACCATTAGAACACACTAGAATATCCAAAAATATTTAAAATATATCCACTATCCCTAATTTTAAGCATTTAAATTATTAATAGTTAATTTCATAGGCTTTTATTCTTACAATTGTGCCTAATCTTGTAACAGGAAAAAGCAATCATAGGAAGTTATATAGACTTTACAAATTTACATGTCTAGGCCTCAAGGGAATGCCTGTCACTATTATCTGGGTATGGGCCTTGATTAGCAATTGATATTTCTTATCACACAGCTGCTTGATCCCATCATAGACAGCCTTATTTACTTCTTGACTTTCAAAAATGACGTTGTTATAGTGGTGAACCTCTTTGAGCTCTAAATCTAACTCACAAGCACAAAAAAAGAGTCAATGCATGGTCAATGCAAAGTGAATGAATATCAATGAAAGTCAATAAAAGCTAATCTTATCGACTACCAAGCGAGCGACTACCAAGAGTTTCTGGATTGAGGCTGAGTAAATACGATGACAATCCTCCATCCTTTCTTTCAGAAGCGAGGGCCAAGATGGAAAGCTTTAGAACGCGGGATCGGTGGCTTTAACACTGGCCTAGAGTGGCTGATTTCTCACAAGTTCTTTGGAAAGATTAGAGTGGCAAGTTGAAAGGTAAAACAAGTAAAGAACCTCACTTAACCTCTCTACTTGTGTAGCTTTGATCTAGAGCATCGAAGAAGCTCTTCCATCCAACGTAGACACCCTCCACGACCATGGCAGCCAAGTCCGCTGGAGGATAGACTTTGGTCTTGGCCACAGCCTTTTGCGAGATCGCCACCTTACGGAAAGGCCCGCTATCTCCATCGCCAAGAACCTCGAAATCCTGCTTGTCCTGGGCCCTCTCGAAGCACTCGTAGTAGTCATCCATCTTCACGAACGGAGGATCGATTGCGCTCCCCTCGGCCGCGAAGAGAACGTTTGGATACGGCATCACTTGGCGAAGAACAGCAGCGAGAAGTATCCTTCCAATCCTGCCGTTTCCATCCAGGAAGGGATGGATGTGTTCAAACTCGAGGAACAATCTGGCTCCAAACTTGATGATCTTGTCGACGGTGTCCACGGATGGATCGGTGTCGTCGCGCTGGAGCAGCCCCACGAGCTCGGCCCTGGATCGATCGAGCAGCCTCTCCAGCGCTGCTTCCACCTCGGTCGGCCACATAAAGACGTGGATTCCTCCAGACTTTGTTCTCGTCATCACCACTTGGCTAGGATGGCGTCGCAGTGTCCCGGCGATCTCGGCCTTTGTGGTCTTCATGAGCTCGGTGTGAGCCTCCAGGATCTTGTGGACGCTCAGCTTGGAACCGATCGCGTCCTCTTCTTCTTTGCCGCTGTTCTTCGCTGGGAAGAAGATCCTCAGTCCTCGATACAGACAGCGCAATGCTTCCAGCCTGTGATCGGCTTGGACGGCGTCCCCAAGCTCCAGCGCTCCATTCGCGATGGCTTCCTCCGTCTCCTCAAAGCTCTCGAATCCCTCGCCCTCGATGTGATTTACCTGGAACAAGTAAGCCGCCAGCGCCCTGCGCTCGTAGGTGTAGCTTTTGGATTTGAGCTCCGATTCCTCCAGCTGCTTGTAGCGCTCGCGAAGTCCGTGGATCTTTGCCACCAGATCGCTTGTGCGAAGCTCGCTTCCGCTCGATCGCCAGAATGGAAGCTCCGAGATCTCATACTCTGCTAGCGGCAAGGCCTTGCGGCCGATAAACCCTAGAAGACGCTGCATACTTTGCCCTAAGAATTCCATGGACTTGATTCGAACACACGATTACCCAGAGATAAAGTGTCGCAAAAATATCTCGAGTATATCCCCGAGTATCTCCGCAGCTAAAGCCCTAAACCCCGCAGTGTGGAAGAACCCTAGCCGCGCACGGCGACGAGGGGAGGAGGAGCTACCACATCGCCGCCTTGCCGCCGCCGCTAGCAGCTCATCGGCGCCATACATTCTCCGAGGTATTTACTCTTCTGCCCCTTTTCTTGGCATTCTTTCCCTCGAAATCTCTCTCGCTTTCTTCTTGCATCGCCATGGCTGCGCTTCCCCGAGAGAGGAGGGCAAGGGATTTCCCGATGCTTCGTTTCGATTTCACTGATCCTGGCCATGTCTGATAGGCTGTCTTCTCCAATGTCGTGCAGTGCAGCGCCGCTGGAGAAGGCGGGAATGCGGAGCATCATAAGCTGGCACGCCCGTGTGCCGCGATGCCTCAAGCTCCGGACGAGCCTGGATTCCAGCAGGGCGTTTGGAACTGCGACGAAGTATAGCTTCACAAATGGAGGACCATCCAAGTTCCATCCAGTCCCCGGGATTCTCAAGAGGCTGCGCGTCAGTGCTACTTACAATGACTGGCAGTGGCCGAGCCCAAGCCCGGCTCCCCAGGACTCACGCTCCTACTGGACCACTCCGCAAAGGCAAGCAGGATTTCCAGAGACTGACTATGACGATGATCGTCGAGGAGGAAGCGGTGGCGGATATGGAGGGGGTGGATATGGTGGTGGCGGCGGCTATGGAGGTGGTGGTGGCTATGGTGGTGGTGGTGGTGGCTATGGAGGTGGTGGTCGTGGCGGTGGAGGATTTGGGAGCTTTGGTTCTTCTCGGGGACCTGGCTTTGGAGTACAGGAGACGTACACTGGTCCACCCATCGAGACTATCAATCCGTCGGCGGTGGTGGCAGGTGAGGAACTCGCAGTGGCGAAGCTCGGGATTGATCCGGAAATTGTGAGAGCGCTCGCACAGAAGAACATCATAAATCTTTTTCCTGTTCAGGTATGGGCTGTAGTCTTTGTGGCAGTTTCTCTCGTGTATTAACTTGTGAGTTTCTCCCGAGCAGAGCGCGGTGTATCAACCTGCGATGAAAGGACGCGATTTTATTGCTCGGGCTAAGACAGGAACGGGGAAGACTCTTGCTTTTGGTCTTCCCATTCTCCATACTATCACTGTTGAAAGGCGCGAAGCTACAAGCAGGTATTCCCTCCCAGGACTTTGTTTCTGAAGCTCTAAATCCGTTGGTTTTTTCTTTTTGCAGGACTCAGCCTGGATGTCCTCGTTGCATTGTCATGGCTCCGACACGAGAGCTAGCAAAGCAAGTCGAGAAAGAGTTGACGTCGACTGCTCCACATTTGACACTAGTGTGCATCTATGGAGGCGTCAGTATCGAGTCTCAAAGACGATCACTGGAGCGGCCAATCGACGTTGTTGTCGGTACCCCTGGCCGTGTCATCGATATGCTACAGCGCGGTTCTTTGCTGCTGAACCGGGTGAAGTTCATGGTTCTGGATGAAGCTGATCAGATGCTTGCAACTGGTTTTGCGGAAGATGTGGAGAAGATCATGGAGAGGCTCCCCAAGCAAAGGCAGACTATGATGTTTTCCGCCACAATGCCGTCCTGGGTGAAGAACTTGTTGCGACGGTTCATGCAAGATCCTCTTGTGGTCGATCTGGTGAGCAATTTGTTTCCAAAACGCAGGTTTTACATTTTATGTTTCCTCTGCAGGTGGGAGACAACGACGAGAAGCTTGCAGAGGGTATTAAGCTTTACTCTTGCGAGGCATCCGACTATAACAAGGGTCCTCTTCTCAAGGAGCTTGTGAATGTACGTAAGAGAAATCCAGACATAGCGCTGATGGTCGTTGCTTTTTCCTCTTCTTTTTGCAGTCGTATGGCAAAGGTGGGAAAGTGATCGTGTTTGCCAAAACCAAGCGCGACACGCACAATGTAGCTCAAGCCATGAGCCGCTCGGTCCCTTGCGAGGCTCTACACGGCGACATCCCACAGTTCCAACGTGAGAGAACGCTTTCCGGCTTCCGAGACGGCAGATTTTCAGTGTTGGTAGCAACGGACGTAGCTGCTCGCGGTCTTGACATTCCCAATGTCGATCTGGTACGTATATCTTTCTGGAAACTCATCGATCTCTCAGGGAAGCGTGTAGCTAACTAAAGTTTGGATCGACAGGTGATTCACTACGAAGTTCCTGGCGACTCAGAGACGTTCGTTCACAGGTCGGGACGAACAGGCCGAGCTGGGAAGAAAGGAGTGGCGATTTTGATGCACACTTACGCGCAGGGGCGCGTGAGGGACACGATCGAGCACGACGTTGGGTGTAGATTCGAGGCGCTCAACGTTCCAAACGTGGACATGAGCTGCGCACAAGACTTTTCGAGGGACACTTACGTGGCGAGCAGCGGTTTTGGCGGAAGAAGCTTTGGAGGTGGACGAGGGGGCGGCGGCTACGGTGGCGGCGGATTTGGGAGAGGTGGCGGCGGTGGCTTTGGTGGCGGTGGTTTCGGGGGCAGGAGCGGTGGGTTTGGGGGAGGGTGGTAGTTGTAGGTTCTTTCTCGGCAGACGAAACGTAGTAGCCGCCTACTTGCAGTGGTAGTTTCTTACTAGTGACGAACATTTGCCTCCTTTTTTTTACCAATCAAAGAATATACGGATAGTTACACAATTTCATGATGCCATCCTAATCAATTAAAAACACTTGCGGACTATTACCTGGAACTTTAGAACAACTCGGTACGTTTTTGAGCACGGAAGAAATTAATTGGTCAGTGCTCTCTTCGTTTTAAAGTTTCACGAGAATTTGAGTTATGATGATATACAAGTAATATATATTGATTAGGATGATTTTATATATATATATATATATAGATTATTGATATAGCTCCGAAGCTTGAAGTAATAGCAGAGTGTAAGTTAAATGGGAGTGAATCGATTATCACAGTGGCCCGCAGCAGTTTTTCATCCAAAATTCCAAGAAGAAAGCACGATTATGAAAGTTATGGGTTGTAACAGGCTTGAGAAATTGAGCTTGTCACGGCTGAACACTTTTGATCCCATGGAGCTTTTTAATGGGTTTCCAAACCTCTCTAGAATGAGCCTGATTAGTGTTGCGAGCTTGACGGGTGAAACTCTGGTTATCAATGGTCCACAGCATCTAAAAGAGTTAGTTTTTCATCCAGATCATGAACAAGGCTTTGTTATGGAAGTACGTCATCGGCAATTGTAACCTTCCAAGTGCCATAGTCTTCGTAGACAATTCCAGCTGCTATTTATTCATCAACGAAGCAGCTTCGAAGCTTTCATTGCCCGTTGGTATACGCTTACTCTTTGCATATGAAACTCTTTAACTGTCGGCTTTGAGCAGGCCCCAAAACTGCAGTCCACCAGTTGGTCGAGGTTCATGACATGCCTTTCAGCGTAAGTGTGCTTACACACTCTTTTCCTGTTTAAAAGTTGTAGTAGGCTTGAGACACACGAATTCATGCTTTTCACTGATACAGGATTTCAGCCTATGGCTTGTTAATAGCTTGGCTAATGATGAACTCTCGAGTTTTCTATCCAACTGTTGGTTGCTCAAGACGCTTGCCCTCGCTCAGAAGTTTAACTACGAGTCACCCACCACATGTATTGCAGCTCGAGTGCAATGTGCTTGCAAGAGCTGGAAATTCAGGGACTGTTTGGATAGCTGCATGAGTCTGGAGGCTTCCTTGAGAACACAAAGTCACAAGACTCTTGTCTTCAGCTTTCGTGAGTACGAGCTTGCTACACTTGGAATACCTGAAGTTTATGACCACACTGATCGTGAAAGTCATGCAAATATATTTCGACTTGTGCGTAACTAGTGCTTCGGTTGGGACAGAGACAAAGTGGACTTTGTCTTCTTTCACTGTTTTTGGTGTCATCTTTCACTGACAATCCACGCTTGGAGTGCTTAGGCTTAGAAGGCAACCTACAGCCATAGTTGCAAAGTTGTGGGGAAGGAAGAGTACTTATTCTCACCGTGTTTTTGAGCTGCAAAACTTAACTGACTTCGTTATTCCAAGAATTCTATACCTGAGAAGATCCCAGAGATCTCGCGAAGAGTTCTGGAATGAATTCCAAAGAGAGTGGAGAGAGAGGATCATCGTCTAAGCTGCCGGAGGAGGCACGTCAATGGGCGTGTCCTGGTAGCGAAGTGCGCATTGCCCCGTGAGCATGAGCACGACGGAGATGGAGGAGGAGCACTCGATCCACGCCCTCTTCACCAGCATCGCGATGCACTCCCGGCAAACCTCGTGAGGCGGCTGGTTGAAGCACACACCCTGGCCGTAAGAGGTAACGTCGTCCCGGCCGTGCTTCACCGTGTAAGTCAAGTTGGTGGCGTTGGGAGTGTTGGCCACGATGTCCGACAGCGTCAAGTTGAGGCTCTGCCAGTACGTGCTCCCCGGCGGGATGGAGGCGTCGCTGCAGTAGCCCGAGAAATCCACCTCCGCCTTGCCGATGATCTTGCACTGGACCGACTGGATCCACACGGCGACAAGTAGCACCGCTAGAGCGAGCTGGAACTTGATCGTCATCTCCATCGCTCGCTCGCTCACTGCAAAGAAAACCGAAACAAAGAGAAAAGAAGAACTTGGAGTGAGCGAACAAGCGTAGCTCTTTTATAGCGTGCACGGGAAACTCTCGTCACCGGATTAGCGTGCGCGTTTCTTTCTTTGTCCGTTTTCCCATCTGTAAGGCACCTGTCGAAGATTTAGAAGAACTACCTCGTTTTGGCATTATCTTCTCGCTTCTTCAAACCCAGAGATGCAGAAGGAACACATGTTAGATTCTTTGGAGGTAAACCTCTCGTATGCTCTTCTTCTTCGCCGCCATATTCACACTTCGGCTTGCAACTCGTCAGCCTTCTCGTACAGCCTTTTTCTACAACCTCCTCCTCTAACACCGCCTTCAAAACATCCAAAAACTCCTTGGGATCGAGACGTCGCATGATCTCTAGATTTTGTGCTGGGTCTCCACGCCGCGTTCTCGAAAACCCGGATCACGAGTTCGTGAGTCCAATCTGTATTTGCAGGGGCCTCCGGACCTGCCATGTCTCTGTTCCACGATCAACACCTCTCCCTTGGAGCTCCCAACAAGAACGCTAGGCTGGATATCTCCGAAGCGTTCTAATGCATTCACGTGAAGTGATTACAAAGCAGAAAAATGTTTAAATGCTAGAAATAGGCTGGTCTAAACAGCTATTAGAAACAAAACTTTTATAGATTACAAAATCCGGAGTGTTAGCGTTCCATTCATAGTCCTCCAAACTACGGCATCAAGTTGCTAACACTTCAGGGCTGAAATGGACATTCATGTCAGAGATCCATGCGGTGGAAAAGAAAGTCCATGTGGGAAAACTAGTTTTCTGGACTTCTTTCAGCTTTGGAGCTTTCTTCCTTAGTCACCCTGGAGGTACTTCAATGTCATGAGAGGCTAACTATCTCTTGCCCGGGTTCACAACTAGTCCGGGCGACAGGCGGATGTCGAAAATTATGCTGGAGTGGTCGGAAGAAGGAATCGAAGAACTGCTCTCGAGATGAAGCTCAAGGAGCTCTCCATTCGGCCTCTGTACGCTTAAATTTGCTTGTGCGGACGCCAAGAGCCGTCAGATAGTTCAACTTTGTGTTTTTGGTCACTAGTTTTCAGAGCGATTGACTTCTTTTCTTTTTCAGGTTCTGGAAGAGATGGTTGGTCGTTTCACAGAAAAATTCTTAAGTTTATTTGTTTCTAACAGTGTCTTTCTCTCTACTAAGAGCTGAGAATGTTTTGCATATGCTTTGATTGGAGACAGATTTCGCCAAGAGTAATGAAGACCTTCGAAAAGGTTGTGGAGGGATACAGCTGCATCTTCCAGCAAGAAACTTCAACTGCAAAACAAAGCATACACTAGTTAGCTGGTGAGTTTACTCAAACCGAAAGAAAAAGCTATTACCTTTTCCGCTTGTTCCGGATTTCCAGAATAAAGCTCGCGTCCAAAGGTGCATTACCAGCTGCGTGAGAATCGCAACATGAATATCGCGTTGCATTAGCTTGAAAATGTGCGCGATTATCTTGTTATTGCACTCGACGTGGTGGCCATCTGAGTAAATAATCCATGTTTTTCATTCCTGTCGTGCCCAACTAAGAATTCAACTAGGATTTTGAACCCCGGAAGTTTCACGAAATCTTACCTGCGCTGCAAATACATTCTATGCGCCGTGGTCAAGTGGGTCAAATTATTCTGTGTTCCGGGGAAAATATGCTTCGCTCACTGCTCGCCGCCCCTGCATTGCCGCTGCCTTTGGCGCCTGCGCTGAGGCTGGCCGCGAAGAAAATACATCTGGCATCCAGGTTTCTCGAATCCAGGAGCAGGCCTTGACCATTGTCACGTGTACTATGCCTTGGCGCCATAGATTTGAATACTCGCCCCTCTTCTTGTATTAGTCGCTTCCTCCATCGTCGACGACCAAGGAGGAGCCCATTCTCGCCGACAATCCACAGCGCTTCTGATGTTCCCGATTCGCCACCCCAGGGTGTGGGAGATGTACATAAATGTCGAGGCGAGCTTCTCGACTGGTGAGATCCGGTTTCCTTCTCGTTTTAGCCGCAATCGTTTGGGGCATTCCAGCTGATCTCTCCCAGGATGCCAAGCACTGGGAGTCTCTCAGCGAACGAAAATCATTTCATGAGCCATGTTTTGGCCTTCTTCGCCGCCTCGTCTTGGAGAATCTGAGATCCAGATCGCGGAGGAAGGCATTTTTTCGTCTTGGCTCTTTGTCATATAGCATTTGCCAGGCTAGGGCATTTTATGGCTTCCAAACATCCTTGCTTTTTCTTTCACAGTGATCTTGAAGCTTACATCTACATTGACGGCTTTTGCTTTTGATTTGAGGCCGATCTCGGCTTGGCTTTTTCTCTTCCTCCTCTTCTGTTTAGTAGAACAGCCAACCTGGTGGAGACGCGCTCTGGTGAACAATCGTTGTGAGATCAATCTGGCTTTGCTCTTCTGAATCAGGAGAATCGTTCGACTCGGCCTGGACTTTCGGTGGGCTGGCTGGAGCTTGCGATGATAGGTTGAGGAATAGTCGGCAGAAAGTAGAGATTATCTTGAAACTCGTCCGGGTCACTGAAAACAGCCACTTTCTCCGTTGTACCAGCATCAGCTTGCACTTGGTTTTTCTTCAAGCACTTGGCTTCCACGACCAACGTTTCAATAAACAAAATGGAACCGATAATCAAATATGCCTTGGCGCCAAAGATTTGAATACTCTGTCTATTTCTCAGCGCTTTCTGTATGTTCCCGTTGGGCCATTTCAGCTTAGGAGGTCAATCTCTGACGCACTGGAGAAGCATGCTGATGGCTGTGTGTTTCATGAAAAAAATCTAGATCCCGGAGGTAAGGCATTTTCCCTTTTGGGTTCTTTTTCCTACAGTATTTGCCAGGCTCGGGCATTTTATGGCCATAGAGATGGGTATGAACATTTGGTTTTTATTTCTCCTTTTTCTTTTCTTTTTCTTTTCTTCTTCTTGCTGTTTAATTTGACTGGATTTAGTAAATTAATGTTTGAAGTTTTATAAAGCTCAAACTTAATGATTTCTAAATACTAAAACAAATTCATGTGATTAACATTTCTTTCTTTCCACAAGGATTGTAGGTGTTTTAATAAAAATTCAATTTTTTTTTGTTAAATTGATAATAGTTAAAAAAAACATTTAAAAAGAAGAAAGTTATGTTGAAGGTTAACAATTGGGTATAATTTATTTTATTCTAGCCTCCAACAATTTTAATACTTTTTTGTGTATAACCTTGTTTATTGTTATAGAATTTATGCCCTCCTGCAAACTTCTCATGACTTTATTAACAACTATTTTCGCAATGGTTTTGATTAATATGTTTATCTAGAAATTGATAAATATACAAGTTTCTCTCTGTTAAAAAAATTATATTTAATAAAAACTATATTTAAAAGATTTTCTTAATAAGAAAAATAAAAATAAAAGTATAAAATTTAAAGGAGAAAATAATCCAGATTTAAATATCTCTTTTGGTAAATCCATTTGCAAGCTAAAATTCATATGAGATAAATTTCTTTTATTTTTATGCATTCATACCTTTAGTAACTTAATTAATATAACTAAAATACTATAAATAAATAAATACAGTAAACAAAGTTTTATAATAAAAGATATAGATTATATATGGCTAATTAGTTTTCCAACTAGCATTTTATAAAAGAAATATAGTTAGTTTTTTTTCATAATTATTAATATAAGTAAAAGTGCAATTGTAACAACAGTTAGGTGTGACTAAGCAGTGGAAGAGTAAGAGTAGCTAGTAAGGGTAAAGTGGGAGTGAGTGGAGCATCCCAGGTAAAAAATATTTAGCATTGACTTATTTGAGTTCATTTTATGTTAAAAAGTAAAGGATTCAGATGATAATGGAAAAGGAAATGAAATTATTCATTACAAACCTTGTCAAAAAATTTATGAACCCTCACATGAGTATTTGAATTTCAAAAAGTGATGAGAATAAAACACATTATTTTATTACAAAATTAATTTAATTTATATATTTATTTAGTTTTTAACTCAAAAATAACTATATGGATGCTCTTTTAAATCTATTATTCTTTGTATTAACTATTTGAATAATATAAACTCAATGATATTATAAATATGTAGAAATATTATTTTTTATTCCAACCAAAATAATAATAATAATAATATTTTAATATTAATTTTAAAATTATTATTTTTTCGTTAGGCAATGCTGTTGCCGTCTCAGTCTCTTGGATACATGTGATTAACTCCTTCCACTCTTTCAGTGAAATCTCTCCAGAATATTTTCTCACTAATTTGCAAACTGTTTCCGTTGGTGATGCCCACGTCAAGATTTGCTTACAGCAATCGTTCAATGCGATGTCCTTGATGTCGCCATGCACGCTGCCTCGTTCGACGGCCTCCATGCACCAAGAGAACATTTTACCGACCCGAGAGACATGGGTACCACCAACCTTTGCCGCATTGGAAATCAATGCCTCGCGGATCAGCTTAGCAATGGCAACCTGCCCTGGCGTCCATTTCAATACCGCGTCACCCAGGATCAACCGCATCAGTCCCTCGGTAAAACGGCGCGCGTCGTCATGCACGAGTTCTCCGGCCCCTGAAGACGTGGGAAGTTCGTAGTAGCGGTGGCGGACGTGCACTTCTGTAAGAGCTTTCCGACAATGTACTTCTGGGTGGGAAACAAGATACTCTTGTCAGCGCACATACTCCGTAACGTCTGAAGACCAGCTTTCAGCCTCGCCGTTAGCTCTTGGTGACTTGAAACACGACTGCTCTTTGTTGTTGCACAAGGCTGCAAAACAATAAAAAAAAAAAAGAAAAAACGGAGATAAGAGAAGAGGCAGCACAAGAGATTCAGGCCTACCGCTGTAGTCATAGTTATAATCGATGACATTTTCCCGGGCTCCGCTCTGCAAGACCTGAACGATGCCTCGATCACCAGGACCCCGTAGAGCCACTTGTCCAAGCCCAGACACAAGAGATACACTGGCATGCCGTGTCCGTTCTCAACGTTACGAATCACTCCCTGTTGTTCGTATACAGCAGGAGATCTTCTCTGTAGCAACTGCTTTCGTCCTGTGCCGGTCCTTCATCTCCAGAGTTTCTCGCCGGGCTCTCACTCGGGCTCTCACTGTCAGTTGACGAGGAAGGAGCTCTCTCGCCCCCCTGAGCTTCATCAGTGTATGGCGCCATTGAGAACCCCTGGTTGAGAGCTTCGGGCATGGATGCTGCCCCCACGGCCCTCTCCACGAACTCTGGCATGGATTCCCTAGTCCATGAAGGATTGTGCTTCTCAAACTCGTCCCATTCGGCATTGGTAGGCCTCGCAAACATTCCAGGAGCTATCAAGGCCGCGACATGCACGGGTCTCATGCCGCCTTGCACACACAACTGCGAGAACAATCTGGATGAAGTGAACAACACAAGCGTCGGATGTACTGCTTTGGTTGATGGAAGAAGAAAAGGGACTTACCTTTCTGCAAAGACGTAGCTCTCTGCATAGAGAGCGATGACCTCATCCAGCGTCTGAGGCGGCATTTTCCGGCAATGATAGCATTTGAGAGCTCCAAGAGTTTCGGATGCTGCTTGCATTTCCGCTAGTAAGCGTACCACCCTCGCCGTTTTCTGCGTATCCAAGCATCAATGCGTTCCCCTTTGTCCGTTTTCTCGTCTGTAAGGCACCTGTCGAAGATTTAGAAGAGCTACCACTTTGGTACGATCTTCTTCGGTCACGAGATCACGAGAACACGAGAGAATGAGAACTTCGGATTCTTTCAAACGAGTACCTGAATTAGAATGTTAGCTCTCTCGGAGTAGAATACAAGCGATGCTGCTCTTCTCAGGGCGGGTCGCCAGTGTTTTCTCTTAAGCTGGAAACCTGTTTCACCCTTTGCGGCCTCTTGTTAAGCTTCTTCAAGCCCAGAGATGGGGAAGGCTCCTGAATAAAACACATGTTAGATGCTTTCGAAGTAGAGCATTCTTTACCTCCTGTATGTCCTCTTGTGCCTCATCCTCTTCGCCGCCATTCACACTTCTAGTCGACTTGGTCTTAACACCTTTGGTTTTTGACTTGCGGCCGATCTCGGCTTGCAACTCGGCAGCCTTCTCGGACAGCTTCCTTTTCCTCTTGATTCTACCATTTGCTCCGACCTCCTCTTCTGTTTAGACAGACCTCGTGAGCATTAGAAATACATTAGCGCAGCCAACCTGGTGGAGATGCGCTCTGTTGAACAATCGTCGTCAGCTCAATCTGGTTTTGCTCCTCCGACTCTGGAGAATCGTTCGACTCGGAAGGATGGCTGGCCTGGACCTTGGGTGGGCTGGCTGGAGCTTGCGATGGTTCTTCTGGAACAGGACTGTCTGGTTGAGGAACAGTCGGTAGAAAGTAGAGATTATCTTGAGACTCGTCCGAGTCACTGAAAACAGCCACTTTCTCCGTTGTTGTAATATCAATATCAGCATCATCGTCAGCTTGCACTGGTTTAGCCTGCAGCAAGAAAAAGAATACAATGTAAGTCGCACCAAGATTCACATAGAAAAACCTAAAGAGTGCTTACCTTCTCAGCCTCAGCATTCAAATCGAACTCATCCTCCCTTTCGACGTACTCCTCGTTCTCTTCCAGCTCTCGAAAGTCTGGAGCAAACGCGCTCCAGTTCTCCGTGTAGTCTTTCGCCCAGATATATATCAAGCCTGACATGGAGACCGAAGCCAGAATAGATCGAGTCGGGTGCCAAGCTATGTCGATGAGGCCTTCCTTGGGACACTCGAGCATCCTTGCTAGCTGACCGAACTCCCGGTTCCACACCTGTATCTTGTGCTCTCCTTTCGCGCCGGAAGCAGCAACAACAAACTCGGCATCGTTGCTGAAGCAGGCAGTCTTCCACACCGCCTTCAAAACACCGTCCGAAAACTCCTTGGGACTGCTCAAGACGTCGCACTTTTCGGGATCTTCCGCAAGCGCTGCCGCAGCATTTTCTCTCGGCAGCAAGTTCTCGAAAACCCGGATCACACGGTCCGACGAGTTCGTGAGCACGTAGTGTCCATTCCGGCTGAAAACAATCTGTCGGACAGTCGCACCACCCGGGACTTGCACAGTCCTCCGGACCTGCCGTGTATCTGTATCCACGATCAACACCTCCCCCTTGGAGTTCCCAACGAAGATGAGATCGCCCTTCTTGTTAAAGCTCGCTCCGGAGAAAGAGTACGAGCTGGCCTCGGCCTTTCCCTTCGCAGCTTGGCCAGTGGCGGCTTCCGGAGTTTTGGGTGACGCCGAGAGTGGAAGCTGGTAGCTCTCACCAGTCGAGAGATCGATGAGAAGTGGAGCGCTGGAGAGCGGGCATGCAAGGCAGAGGAGCGGCCTCTTCCTCCCCGGATGGAAGCGAGCGTGGAGAGCTGTTTGATGGAGGGTGGTGGAAGCGATCTTGACGCCTTTGGCAACGTCCCAGCAGGAGAGTGATTTGTCCATGGCTGCCGCGACGAGGTGGTGGCCGCATTTGGACCAGCTGACGCTCGTCACTGGAGAGGAGCAGCTCTTGTCACGAAGCTCGGCGGCCACGCCTCGCGTGTGGAAGTCCCAGATCACGCAGGAGCCATCGGCACAGCCAGCTGCAAAGAACAAAATAACGAAAGCTTGAGAATTCTTTATCTATCCCATCGCGTGTCTGTAAGAAGCAAAAGATTTCTCTAAGAACCAAGAGATCTTGCCTGCCAGTAGCGTTCCACGCCGATTGAAGGCAATGCTCTTCGTGATCCCGTGCTCCAGGAACTCTTCGATCACTTCTGGGAAATCGTTCTGGAAGGGGTCTGCAAGGAATCGCCGATCACAGGAGAAATCCAGAAGAGAAGAACTCACCGAGTAGCGAAAGATTCATTGCTATCCACTGGCGCGCCTAGAGAATCGAGCGATGCATCTACGCTCGCTTCCCACAAACCCTACCAAAACCCTAAAATTTGCTAAATGGCTGTTCTTCGCGGGAGCGTGGAGCTAGTGCTCCCCATCTGCGAGAGGCCGGCCTCCAAATCCACGACGCTCGCCAAGCTCTTGCGCTGGCGCTCGCAATCCCGGCACAAGGCGTCGTCGATCAGTACCGCATTGTCGGAGCTCGATGGCGGGCCGGATTCCAGTGAGCTCCTCACGGAGCTGGAGTGGCTGCTGGATGACGCTGTGGAGAGTTGCGTGATCCACAGGCCGGAGAAGAGGAAGATCCAGGGATGGAGGCACCTCAAATCCGCGCTGGAGCTGGAAGAATGCGGCCGCGGCGACCGCGATGATCTTGATCAAGAGCGCAACGATACCCTAGCCGGCCATGGCGAAATATTTCTTCGCGCGAGCTTGGAGGAGCTAGAACAGGGATGGAAGGAGAGGATCGATCGCCGGCGGCCATTCCAGTACGTGACAGGGAGCTCGCATTGGCGGGATCTGGTGCTTGGCGTCCAGGAGGGAGTGCTGATCCCAAGGCCAGAGACCGAGCAGCTGATCGACCTCGCGGCGGCCGCCATGGATGGAAATTCCGAGCTCGCGCGAGGGGTTTGGGTTGATCTTGGGACTGGCAGCGGCGCGATCGCGATTGGAATGGCTCGGCTTCTCGATGGGAGGGGATCGGTGATCGCTGTGGATGCCAGTGAGGTCGCGATCGCGGTGGCCGAGGCCAATGCTCGACGCTACAAGCTCCAGGTAAGAGATTCTTCCAGTCCAGAGAACGTTCTCTTTCTTCTTTAGTCCTTTTATTTGTGTTCTTCGTGCTTGAGTCTAGAGCTTGTTCTTAACGTTTTTTCTTTGTTCTCACGGATTTCTTTCGTGCCTGGCAGGACGCTGTGACTCTTGTCAAGGGCTCCTGGTTGACGCCTTTGCGCGACGAAGCTGGAAAGCTCTCCGGGATCGTGAGCAACCCGCCATACATTCCGTCCAGGAACCTCGGGAGATTGCAAGCCGAGGTTGGAAAGCACGAGCCAATGTGCGCTCTGGATGGTGGCGACGATGGAATTGACCACCTTGCGGAAATCTGCCAAGGAGCTTGCTGGGCTCTCAAGTCCGGTGGTTTTCTAGCGCTCGAGGTCTCTTCCTTGTGTTTTTCCCTCCTTTTTCCTGCTGAATCTCTGTTTGATCTTGCAGACCGATGGTGGCGAGCAAGCGCAAACCGTCGCAAAGATCCTGTCCGACAAGCCTTTCGAAGACATCAAAGTTGTGAAAGATTTCGCTGAGATGTCTCGGTTTGTCACTGCGTTTCATACGTAACTCTAGCTTTTGATCCCTCTGGTGGTTTTTTTCTTCAAGCTAGTCAACCAGTGGACTAAACACACCGTTGACGAGGCTTTGACTCAATCCTGGCCATTGTATAGTCAACCAAGGCATGTCCGTGCCACGTCTAGACACACGCGGCGCCTCGATGACGGCAGCGTGTTCTCCGCCTTGTCTCTACTGACGCGATTCCAATCTATATGGATCTCCTTTTCAAGAGAGACGAGGTAACCTTCAACCTTGCATTGTGCTGGTTTCTCACAACTCTTGTTCGTTTCGAAGCTTTTGGCGAGATTGGAATGGGTTCGTCCGACGGCCCAATGCTTGCGGATGAGAAAGGCAGTGGGACGATTCAAAGGCAGTTCTCTCATGGGGCTTTGCATTCCGAAAGGAGCATCCAGACAGGAGCGCTTTCAAGGCTCAACTCGTCTGGCTTGAAGGGTGACCTCCAAAAGCCTCTACTGCGAGCTAAATCGAGGGCTTTCATCAAGCCACCCAGCTCGGTTATCCCAACACTGTTCACGCTCGTCGTTGTTCTTGGAACTTTGTCTCTTGGAATTGCTGTAAGTTTCTTTCCTTGTTGTCAGCTTTTCACATCTTACTGACGATTTATGTAGCTCGGGTATACTTCACCGACGCAAGCTGATATAATTCACGATCTCCATTTAAGCTTATCTCAGGTGCAGAACATCTATCACTCATTTGACAGATTATGGTGACCTCCATTTTTTTTTCTCAGTATTCTTTCTTTGGTTCTCTCGTGAACTTGGGATGCATGGTCGGTGCTGTTTCAAGTGGAAGGATAGCAGATAGTCTCGGCCGTAAAGGAGTATGTTTTCTATTCAAGTTCGTGCGTTGCTTAGCTGATTTCTTATCACGGCTTGCAGGCGTTAGTAGCAGCAGCTATTCCCAATCTTGTAGGATGGATTATGGTCGCCATGGCAAAAGTAATCAATAACGAACGAAAGAAGAAAAGCTTAATTTCCTTATTTCCAGGATTTGCAATTTCTTTACATTGGGAGGTTTTTGAAAGGACTTGGTGGCGGGATTGTCTCCTTTACTGTAAGTCTCATTTTGTTCCAGCTACATACCGAGTAAAAGTTCTTGTGCAGGTTCCAACTTATATTGCAGAAGTTTCTCCCAAACATATGCGAGGAACTTTGGGTGCCATGCATCAGGTTCGGTGGTTTTGTTTTGTCTCCTGTTTTCTTAAGTTCGGTCCTTGCAGCTGGCAGTAACTGTTGGTATCATGATGGCATATATGGGGGGATTGTTTTTTCAGTGGAGAATGCTTGCTCTAATTGGTAACATTTCTCACGTTTTTTGAAAGCCACCTAACTTTTTGCGAGTGTGTCACAGCTACTATTCCCGGAGCGCTACTTTTGATCGGGCTTTGTTTTATCATTGAAACACCTCGCTGGCTGGTATGGGGAAAGATTTCAAATTTCTCCTCAAAATATTGCTTTCCAGGGAAATGCCGATCGTAACAAAGATCTCGCTACAGCTCTTCAGAGACTACGAGGAAAAGATTATAACATAAGCTCGGAGCTTTCTGAGATTCAGGTAATGGTAACGGTGAGTTTCTGCTCTGTAGTTACAATAACATCAAGTGCGTCAGAACGCTGCGGAGGTATCCAGATTGCAGCCCAGCGTGCTAGTTACAGAGCTATTTCAATGGCGACTCTTCCGGCCCCTACTTGTAAGCTATTTCTTCCTTTTTCCGTTTTGTCTCAACATGAATATGGTATTCGTATAGGCAGGAATAGGCGTAATGGCCTTGCAGCAATTTAGTGGAATCAACGGAATCATGCTTTATGCTGGTGAAATTTTCAGCACAGTCGGTAAGCTCATACAAGTTTCTGTGCTCAAAACTCAAAATTATTTTGCTTGCAGGATTTAAGTCACCAAACGCAGCTTCCTTGCTTCTAGCCATGCTACAAGTAATTCTTTTGTATTGTTCTTATTGCACGTATTAATGTCTTTTTATAACAGGTAGCCGTGACGCTCACCTCAGCAGGATTGATGGAAAAGGCTGGAAGGCGTTTGTTATTGTTGGTATGAGCTCAAAATGATTTCTCCTCCCTACTAACAGCGTCTAAATCATGTATAGTTATCATCGGGAGGCATGGCTCTCAGCGCTTTTCTCGTGGGATTCTCATTCTTTCTACGCGTAAGCTTAAAAAGATCCAATGGCTTGTGAATGTTCGTGTAACATTTTCTTTGCTTCTTTTTCCAACAGAACATAAAGAATCCATCTCCTGAAATGGACACATTCATCAACGTTCTAGCACTTTGTAGCCTTCTGGTAAGAAAAGAACGAGCATTTTGAGAAAGAAAGCGTTCTAACTTGCTTCCAGTTTTATGTGGTATCATTTTCATTCGGTCTCGGTGCCATTCCCTGGGTTATAATGTCGGAGGTAAGAAGTTTCCAAGCTCTCTTTTGCTGTAAGTCTAAATGCTGGTTTTGCAGATCTTTCCTTCTCGTGTCAAAGGCCTGGCCGGAAGCCTTGCTACGCTAGTGAATTGGTCTTGCGCCTGGGCCGTGACACTAACCTTCAACTTCCTGCTCAACTGGACATCTTATGGTACGCGTTGTTTCATAGCGCTGTGTCCAGAGCTCATGTAAAACTTTCTCACGCAGGTTGCTTTTGGCTATACGCATCGATTTGCCTCGCCACAGTTATCTTCGTCGCTCTCTTTGTTCCGGAGACTCGAGGTCGCACTCTAGAGCAGATTGAGGCTTCGTTTAAATAGACGCTTCAAATCGGACACCCAGTGGATCATCGTAGAAAACAAGGTACCTATTCATTTTCCAACTTGTAAACATCGAACGTGATTTTACCTGCGAAGTAAGTTTCACTGCTCGGTCTGAATGATAAGTCCAATGGGGCAGTGGTCGCTGCCATCAAGCTGAGGAAGAACATACGAATCCGCGACACTGCAAACCAGTCCTTGAGAAACGAGGAAGTAGTCCAACCTCCATCCTATCATAGGAAAACAATTGTTTTGTAAGTTTGTAAAGTAAAAGCCATACCTTTGTTCTGTGGTCTAGCATTGCTGCGATAGCTCCAGTATGTAAAACCAACAGCCAGTGGATGCTGCTTTCGAAACGTATCCACGAGTCCTTTGTCTATGAAATTCGTTTGGAAGGAGGTCCGCTCTTCGCTCGTGAATCCAGCGCTCCTTTTGTTTCCCTACGATCCAAAAGCCAGCGTTGCATTGATAGGACTTAAAGCAAGCGATTTACGTCTGGATCGTAGATGTCAATCTCTTCGTGTGCGCAGTTTAAGTCACCCGTGACAATCACGGGCTTTCTCTTCTCGAGCTCCTGAGAAAAGATTACTGTATCAGATTATTAGAGGCTAGAAAGCTTTACCAGCAAATATGTGCTGAATGCAGGATCCCACTCCGTTGTTCTGTAAGTCTGATGCGAAGAAAATATGGAAAGTCCAAAAGAAAAATGAAAGAAAACGTACCAGTCTCTCTAAACGTTGTCCGGAGTTTGGGACGTAGACAGAAACTAGGAAGAATGTATCAAACTCGGCTGTGACGACGCGGCCCTCGCCATCATGCTGAGAAATTCCCAATCCATACGTCACAGACAAAGGCTTGATCTGCGATGATGGATCACAAACTCAGTGGAAGGAAGAAAAAGTAAATACCCGTGATATGAGAGCGCAACCAGAGTAGCCAAGCTTTGAAGTGCTGCAAGTCCAGAAACTATTGGAATAGCCACCCAAGATCTTTTGTTTGATCGCCTCCACATCTTTTTCCTGCAAAGAGCTTTACTTAAGAAACCTTGAAACCAAAAAGCCAGACCTGGAGCTTTGTTTCCTGGAGACAAAGGACGTCGAAATCTTCCGAGTCTGCGAGACGAGCCAGTGCCGAGCCTTCTTCTTCCAGCTCGTTTTTGCGCTTCATGCAAGCCCGCAAGCCATTGACGTTCCAGGAGATAACTTTCACCAAGTTCTTCTCGCTTGGCAGGGACGAAGGCCTCATTGTGGACGGATCATAAGCAATCCAGTCGGGCTTGGGCTTTTTGTGCCGGAGTAGAGCCCACGGGCTGGCAGATTTCTCGCTGCTTACTTCGAGAGCGGTAGTCGTCGTTGTCTTTCGTCTGGAAACTTTCTTGGAGGATTTCTCGACTGTAGTCTCCGTTGTTTGGACCCGTTTGAGAGCTCTAACTTCAGAAGTTTCTCCTGCTAGAGTTGAGAAAAGTCGATTGAGATGTCAAAAAAGTGAAACTTCTTACCAGAAGTCTCAAGCTCTAAAAACTCTGTGATCTTTCCTAGAAGCTCTTGCTTGGTGCCTTTAGTAGAAGCCTTCATCTTCCTACGCACGATAAAGAAGAACAACACAAACGATGTGAAGGAAAAGAAGAAAAAAAATTATTCGCTCACTTCATGAGGCTCCTGAGCTGAATCACCGTCATTTTCTCGAGCTTGTTCTCGGTCTGTAGCACAAGCAGCTCATTCCGGAGGATGGAAGCCATCGAAATCTCCTTCTCCTCTCTATCAATGCGCTAATATCTCGCCTAGAAAAACAAACGCTCGATCGATGCGCCAGGAAAAAGGCTACTACTTACATGAATCACTGCTCTCCAGCCGGATCGATCGGCGCAAACCTACATTCGCTCGAAGAGACGAGAAAAACCCTCTTTCCTTAAACCCTAACCCCGCCATAACATGAAAGGGGCATATTCTCTCACCTTTTGGGCATTATCCATTTCCCTGGGAGGAGCTTCTCGGCGATGGCGTCGTCTCCTTGCATGCCCCATCCCTGTAAGTAGTAGCGCCGCGCCAATCTCGATCGTAATCCACATCCATTCCAGGTCTCGTGGCTAGAGCGTCTTGCGATTCTTCTTCTTGCTCTTCCAGGTAGGGCATTCTCGGATTTCTCTCATTCCCCATCGATTTCTCGATCTTTCTCCAGCTTCTCGGCGCCTCTCCGGCATCGCGCTGTGAAATGTAGCAGCGCCAGCGCTAGCCGGAGGGAATTTTCTCTCGGATCATCGGCATTTTCTCTTCTTTCGCTCGCTGGATTTGCCAGAGCCGAGAGCATTCCCACGGAAGCTCCCAAGCAACTCTGTGACAACGCTTGCGAATCGGAGCTCGAAAATGTGTGGTAACATTTCTTCTTCTTTTTCTTTCTCTTGCTGTCTGTCACCTCTCTAGAATTGATTGATTGGATTTTTCTTGAAGGCTCCAATGGTGACTACTCCATCCGGACTACAGTACAAGGACATCGTCCTCGGAAATGGCCCATCACCACCGATTGGATTCCAGGTCTTCTTTCTTTCTCCTCGTTTCTTCTTTTTTCTTTTTTCTGATCTATTTGGTCTGTGGCCTCTGTGGTTTTGTTCTTCTTCTTTGTTTTCGGATTTCCTTCTGGTTTATTTCGTCTGTGTTGGATTTTTTCCTCGTGCGTGTACTGAGTTTCTTCCAGTCTTGTTTGTGTGCCAGGTCGCAGCAAACTACGTCGCCATGATTCCTTCCGGGCAAGTCTTTGACAGGTACAAGCTTGTTTTCTCCAGCATGATTGATTGATTTGGTATTTCGCAGCTCGCTGGAAAAAGGAGCGCCTTACATTTTCCGTGTTGGAGCCGGATCAGTAAGCTCTCGAGTTCTTTCCCTTAGAACCTTCTTTGCGGATCTGATGAAAGCAACGCTTTTCGTAGGTGGTGAAGGGGCTGGATGAAGGAATTTCGACCATGAAAGTTGGTGGCAAACGTAGGCTCTACATTCCCGGCTCTGTAAGTCAATGACCTCGACTTCTTTTTTGTCATGAGCTTTCACATGAAATGCTGACGAATGGAACACTTTATTTTCTCACAGCTGGCATTCCCGCGGGGGCTGAATGCTGCTGCTGGTAGGCCGAGAGTTCTTCCGAACACACCGGTGGTTTTCGACGTGAGCTTAGAATACATCCCTGGCTTATCCGACACAGATTTTGAGTGAAAGAGTTTTTTTCATTCTCGGAAACAACTAAAGTTGATTGTATGAAATCAAGGCAATCTGCGACGCTCAGGTTCAGGTACGGTAAGCCTTTTTCTTTTGTTTCCTTTTCCTGTCAAAAGAATCTAGATAAAATTTCACCTGTTGTATGCGTTCCTGTTTGGTTCTGACTTTTCTCTTCTCCATTGAGCCTAAACTTGCACAGTGACCTTCCGGCCGTTTCCACCATCGTGATGAATATCATCGTTGCCGTGCCTCGACGCCTCATACTTTTCACCGTCGCCCCACAGCGCATACGCCTCCTCTCCGTGCACAGCATCATCGCCAACTTGCAGCTCGTCGTCCGGCATCCGGAGTGGCACAAAGAGCCGAATGGCGAGCAGAATGATGGTGGTGGCCACGATATTCCAGCCGATGATAAACAGCGCTCCTGCGATCTGCCGTCCAAACTGGCCACCTCCGACACCTCCGTAGAAGCCACCCCGAGAACCAGTCACGGGCACGAAGTATGAAGTTAGAACCGGCTCGGCTAGCAGCCCCGTGAGGCCTCCTCCGAGAACTCCGGCCACGGTGTGCGTGTGGAAGACGCCAAGAGTATCATCCACCTTTTGGAGTAGTGTGGATCGTCTGTGAACGACCATCATGGTGAACCAGGGGATGGAACCGGAGCAAATGCCCATCACGATAGCAGCCCAGGACTGGACAACACCTGAGGAAAAAGAAGAAGATCAGTGAGAGGTAGAGTTTTGGTTTTGGGAGAGTTTCTATACTGACCAGCTCCTGGAGTGATGCAGACGAGGCCAGTGATCATTCCCTGGACAGCACCGATGACCGACGGCTTGTTGAAGAACGTAACGTCGAGGATCGTCCAGACGATGAGGCTGGTTGCGGCGCAGATGTTGGTGTTGAGCACGGCGATGGAGGCGTCGATGTTTGCAGCGTAGGGGTCGCCGCCATTGAATCCATTCCAGCCCAGCCATAGCATCCCAGCTCCGGTGAGTGTGAGGAGAATGTTGTTCGGTGGGAATCTCTCCCTGTCCTTGGTCAGCCTTGGCCCAACCTGTGGATCACAGCAGAAAAAGATATTTTTTAGAGCTTTCTTTCAGAGCAATTGTCACCACAATGGTGTGAAAGTGGAAATGGAAAGATGGCCACCAGCAAAGGAAGAGAGTGATCCAAATATCACGCAATTCACAAGGCTTTCATGAGTGGCAATAGATAATTGAATCAAGGTGAGCAGGCAAGATGAAATGATACATCCAGCTCATCAAATCTAAAAGAATATCAAGCACAACACACCAAAACCAAAGGAGAATCACAAGGAGATCATCAAATCAAATAAAAAAAGGACTCTGTTTTCTTTGGAATGGGGGAGTTCTTACCCAATAGGCAGCAACAAAACCAGCAGTGCCAGCTGAAACATGGATGACATAGCCCCCAGAGTAGTCAATCACCCCCCAGTGGAACAAGAATCCTCCACCCCACAAGCTATAGGCCCCCACAGTGTAAGAGAAAGTGAGCCATAGTGGAACAAATATCATCCAGGCCCTGAAATTCATCCTCCCCAGCAGAGACCCAGCAATGAGGATGACAGTGATTGCAGCAAACACAAACTGGAAGTAGACCATGGTGGCCATTGGGTAGAATGGAGTGATCTCTGCAGTCTCCACGGTCCCATTCTTGTAGTAGTGACCAGAGGAAGGGATGGATGCCTGCTGCATGAGGTACTTCTGGCCAAGGGCCACATCTGCCTTGCCCCAGAATGGGAGGAGCTTGTGACCAAATGCCATCCTGTAAGCCCAGCCCACCCAGCAGATGAGCACTGCAGCAAAGGCATAGAGTGCCATGAAGGCTGAATTCACTGCCCACTTCTTCTTGACAATGGAGCCATAGAGGATCACCAGGCCTGGAACGCTCTGCATCCCCACCAGTGTGGCTGCTGTCAGCTGCCAGGCATTGTCTCCCTTGTTGAGCCACTCTGGGACTGTGGCTGCCAGAGCATAGGCTGGAGTTGCTGGAACTGTTGCCATGATCTTGATGATTTTCCTCCTTTATTCTTCCTAGATTGTTCTTCTCCTCCTTGTGATCAGAGCTATGCCTCTGCAAGAATTGCCTATCAAGGATTGAGAGTTTGAAGGGAGATGAGAGACACTGCCAGAGATTCAATGAGGAGACTGATCATACAGTAAAGAATCTGGATCAATTCCAGGACAAGAGGGGTGAAAACAAGAACCTGGAGGGAAGGAGACAATGGGAAGAATCCTTACCCGCGCCTGTGAGCTCCATAGCCAGGAGCTTCAAAAGTCCAAAGCAGGGGAGCTTCCAGCAAAACAAGGGATTCTTCTTATTATTCCTTATAATGCCCAGCTTTTTGGCCTAAAACGCCCCGGTCCGGGGTTCGATCCGGCCAATTAAAGGTGCATAAGCATGATTAGTGGGCTAAGTCAACCAAAAGCGGGCGCCTCCATTTCTGACTGCGAAGTCAAGTCTTGCGAAAAGCTTTCACGCGAACGCGCAGGACGCTTTACCTCCAACATTGACAGCATAAAAATTTAAGAACCATATGTACCAAAACTGTCAAGAAATAGCAATTTCATTTAAAACCATGTGTGGAGACTGGAAACCATGATAGAGGTTAGAAGAAATATGACTCACAAACACTTCCATCAAGTTTGGAGTTGATGAAGTCATCGCGCAGGTAATGGCCAGCTGATAGAATCAAGATCACGTCCCATGCTCTAGGAAGTTCTTTCGTGTTGAATTTTTCTATTCGGTGACGCGACAAGATTCTTTGAGTGTATGTGCTGCACGTTGTCGAATTCATTAGTATGGAGCTTGAAATCCAAGACTTAACTTCCAGAATTCTCGCGCTCCGCGACGAGAGTTCCTCCACGGATCCAGCCAAGCTCTCTCGCGGCACGATTCCAATTTTTTTTTCTCCTCTTCTTAGAAAGAATCTCCACAGTTTTCCACCTCGCACTGTGGAAAGTACTTGGGCGGCTTGCTTCGGTATCCCAGCCGGTGCTTCCGACAAGTCAAATGCTCCAAGAGCTTGCGTTCGTCGTAGTGCTTGGTCCTGCAAAGAAAAAACCAAAACAAAGCAAGAACAAAGAGTGAGTTTTCGAGTCGACGAATCGGGAAAACGAGAGATCTTACTTATCTCGAGAATCCGGAAGTGGTGGCTTCCAAAGCAGCGCGCAGCGTGGCCGTCGAGGATTTCTCTCCAGAGCTAATGGAACGAGACGAAGCTTGTCAGCTTCGCTCTCCGTCTCACTTCCTTTACACGCCGAGGTTTCGTCACCGCCTGCTTCGCTCTCACCGTCACCTTCGCCTTCGCCTTCACCTTCACCACCATCGTCAAAGCTTGTCACTGGATGAAAACTTTCACCAAAGAGTCCTTCACGGCCCGAGGAAAAAAAAAAACTACGCCTGTTTCTACCACCACCACCATCACTTGCGAAGATCTTGTGACTCTGGCCTGCTAGAACCTTTCTCTGTTTTACCATGAGTCGGGCTCGCGAGCTGAGATTCGAGATGAAGGAGCTTCAGCTGTGTCCAGCATTTCTGGAGCTCGTCCTCGATGTCTTTCCGGTACCTGAGAAGAACGAACTGCAAAGCCTCGTACTTCTTCTGCAAGCTTTCCGAGTCCGCCGACTGTGTCTCGCTGTGGAGAGCTTCCAGATCTTGCTTGTACTTCTTTAGCTCATCGCCGAGTGCTTCGTACTTGCTGCGCAGCTGAGACGGCGATGCCGTGACTGCCTTTCGCTGAAGGTCGCGGAGGTCGTCTTTGCATTTGTTGAGGCTGTTCTCGAGGTCGTCGTATTTCTTCTGGAGCGGCGCGTTCAAGGTGCGGGTCTTGGAATCACGACGAAGCTGGTTAAGTTCTTCCAACTGGAAAAAACCAAAAAAAATAAAACTTTTAGAAGAGTATGAACAACAACGAACAAACAGTAATCAAAACAAAAGAATCAAAGAAACAAACCAAAGCTCAAACAAGAGGATAAAAAAAACGAACCATGGATCTCACGATGCACGAAGAGAAGCCTGAGAAGCTAGAAAAACAATCGATCTAAGTGAAAGAAAGACAAAGAAAAGTGTAAGAAATCCAGCAACAAAGAGAAAGAAAATCTACACACAAAATCAAAGAACGATGGAGATGCGCGAAGGATCAAAATCTAGTGTACCTTTCTGGCGATTTCTGGATCGGCATTGGAGAGCCTAGCGGCAGTGATGGCGCTGCTCTTCCTTCGCGATCGCGGAGGCGGCCGACTGGTTGGGAGCTCCTCGGTGGGCGTGGTGCATCCACAAACCGCCATAAGCAACATCCCTCTCCTCCCCTCACTCGACGTAACCCTAGAAATGCCAATGCTGACTTGGCTGACACGCGTCAAAATATTGGCTGCCCATGTGAACAATATAGGTACACGTGGAATTTTGAACACTTCTATATTTATGCCCCAACATAAACCAAATTTAGAAACAAAAATCAACTTAGAAGTTAATCTAACTACAACCACCTTTTGGGTGCCCTGTGCATTCTCGACAGTATCAACGGGGCAAGCGCTGTTCTTGGTTGACGAAGGCTCGCCTCTAAGCAGGATGCGCAGCAAGCTACATTCGCTCTTCCGACCGGGACCTTTGTGCCACTGTTGGTATTTTCAAGTGGCTTTGGATCAGACGAAGGCAATCTCAACAGAAGGCCGCCCCCAGAAGAAGAGTTGGCGCTGCTGCTTCATCTACACATGCAGCCGCTGGATAGTCTTATCGATCACTGGGAAAAGCGAGCACAGATTCTACTGCAGTGCGCTGTAGCGTCGTGGAGCGCTTTGTTGAAGACTGCTACATAGTCTCCAGGGGTTTCTTCCCATGGAGGAGCTTTTCTGCCACCAAGTCGCGGAGATCCACAGCAACAGCAGGGTGAGCCGGCGCTAAAGTCGTGAGCCACTCAATACCCCTGGCTAGAGTCTGAGCTGACAAACGCTGCCAGTACGAGTCCCAGTCACTGGCCTCCTCCCGACCTTGCCTTACTTCGCCGGAAGCTTGGTATAAGGATCTGGACACTCCTCCCGCAGGCTGGAACAGCTTTGCGACTTTGCAGCCAATTTTCTACGCGCTGGACCGACAGCCTCCCTTTCCTCGCCTTGACGAACCGCGTTTGCTCTAGCTCTCTCACCGTTGTCGGCGGAGGCAATCCTCGACTGCGTGAGAGCTCTCCGCTGGAAGTGTACCTCTCGGCTACGAAGAACCGGAGGCTAACCGTGTCGCAGCCAGCATTTTGGATGGAGCAGTGCGGAAGGTGGCTCCCGGTGGCATCGGGTGTTCCGGAGCATTTTCTGAGCCTCTCCCGACGGTTTATCTCTTGCGATATATCCTTTCAGAGACGAGGTAGGGGACTACGAAAAGAGTCTCGCGTTTGCGTTTCGGTTCCAAGGTGGTGACGTCCCCAAGTCGATCCAGGAAAGGTTGTGAGTTTTGTGGAGAGGTACAACCAGCAGTACACCAGGAGACCGAGACTGCCCGTGATACACGAGCGAGCTCGAGTACCTGAGAAGTGGAGATGAGCTCCTTTTGAGTCTACTCCCGAAGGCCACGGACGAAGAAGAGGCAGTGCTACTTCAGACGGAGCCAGAGGCACGACTGGACGAGCTAGTGCAAGGCTGGACAAAAGGCTGGATGAAAACGCTCAGGCAGCAGCGACTGGACTGGAAGAAATTCCTCGGCTGTGGACAGAGGACACGAAGCTCACGCCAGAGGGGATCGGCTTGGAAGTTTTGGAGGTGACGAGCCCAAGGTCTTCAAGCTCAGACAGTCACAAGAGGTATAACGAGCTCTTGAGTAGCTGCCACAGCGCCCAGACGCTCGTCTCTGGGAATCTCACAAGCTACTTTAGTGTTTTTTGACACAACTACTCGACAAATGTTTGCAACATTGTAAATGTATTCATTTCTTTTCAAGGAAACCACAGAGTGCTTTGTGTACGTTTTGCCGCTGCCAAAGCGTAAACTTCCATAGCTGGCCCTGAAACGTTGTTCTATGGCACCGTTGCAATCTCATGGTGTTGCAAAAACAAAAGGAAGTTAGAAAAACCACAAAGAAAACTACGGAGAACATAGACCTGGAAGGTTGAAGCCTCTCAGTTCGCTGAACAAACATTCTGGTTAGAACAAACTGAACCTGTTAAACTTCGACTTCCATTTCGTTGAACAGCAAACATCCTAGTTAGAACAAACAGTATACGAGTTGATTCAAGCGTCTTTTCTTGTAAATTCGTGCTATGCACATTCCTTTGACTTCGGAGTTTGCATGATCGTTGTTTTCATTCAGGTTGTCATGTACATCTTCGCCAAGCACATTATACTTGGTGCAAGCTTGTGTTTACGAGAGCATTGGTTAAGTCACCATGGGAATGCTTGGACCAATTCACTGTAATGGTCCTATAACTTAAATCCTGGTTGTAATTCAAAGTAAATCCAAGCCGTTCATCGTTTTTAATCTTCCTCATCTAGGCTTATCCATTACGCTTGCGTACTTATGTCCATCGCCTGTGCTAACTTGAGTTTGGTATGTCACTATAGCTCGCCACATTGTTCTCTTCCAGGTACTTCTCTATTGTTTTGGCCTTGGCAGGAGACTCCACCATGGCCACCACCTTTCCCGTGAGAGCAGCCCATTTTCTTGTTCTATTCTCTCTTTGGAGGAATCAGTGGCAGTTGCAACTATTACTTCAGCCCTTTTCTTGCATCTCAAGGATTTTGCTCAGCCTTGGTTTAGAAAAAGCGTGGGTGTGAAAGCCACTCCAGCCATTCTTTTCCTTCCAAACCGATGCTTGATCAGCCGCTGGCATCTCTAACCGAAGCTGTCTCAAATGCATATCTGGAAGGCAGTCAGATGGAACAGGAAACGAGCAAAACATACTCGTTGATCATTTGTGATCTGTTGAAGGATAAGTCTCTTGGAGTAAAGCTTGAGGATCATCAATATCAAGGTCTTGAAGGCCCTCCAAGTAGTATCGCAATGTTGTGGGAACGGAATGGAGTTTATCAAAGGAATCCTGGACGAGCACCAAACATTTTCAAAATTGATATTACATTTAGAAGGACTTACTTGGCCAATTTCTTCTTGGTGGAAATCTCCAGTAGCCTTTGAAAAATGTGTCGCACAGAAGATCAGCTGCTTTGCATCATTGGAAATGTATGTTCATTGTCTTGAGTCCAAGATGTAGAGAAAAGAAAAGTTGCAGAAGCACACACCTTGCACAATCCTGCTGTGCCCAAAGGCAGAGCAAGTTGTGGAGCTCTTCCGTGAGTCACCTGTCCCTCACTATTTTCCTTGC